CCAACTTGATACTGAGCTTAAAGTACCGCAAGAGTTGCTGTTGTTGGTGTTGTTTTTGACGGAAAATTGCTGGCAAACGGGTTGGCAAAAGATGGCCAGCTCAATGCACACAAAGAATGTTGTTCTTACTCCTGCTCCTGTTGCTGCTCCTGCTGCTGCTCCTGCTGCTGCTCCTGCTCCTGCTCTTGCTCGATTGCTGGCAGGAGCTGCTGCCTGCACCTGGACTTGGACTTGGTAGCTCGGCCACCCGCTGTGTGGCAGTCATCGACAGTGCAACGCAGGCCGCAACACAGTTATGCAATCACAAAACTTTCCAACCAGCTCACTGTCTCTCTCTCTCTCTCTCTCTATATATATATATATATATATATGTATATATATCTGGGTATTTGACTCTCTCTGCCGACCATTGATTGAAATTCTTAGCCAGGCAGCTTTGCTTGTAATTTTCAGCATCATCTCTCGACTTTTCATTATAGTAGTAGTTGTTATTATTATTATCAAAATCATCTATGCGTGCCTCTGCTCTGCTGCTGCTGCTGCTGTTGCACAGCTTGTGTCTGCCTGCCTGCCTGCATCTATCTCGTTCTTCAACGTGCGTCTTTCGTTCGGCTTCATTGTCAGTTGCCGGTTTGCTTTTCTATGTGAAGGATTCATCCATAACGGTTTTCTGCTCCTGCTCCTGTAATATCCTTATTTTGTTGTTGTTGCTGGAATATACAATCAAATTGGTTGCTGCTGCTGCTGCTGAAATTTCTTATTGGCTTGCCAATAATCTCTATTTTCTTTTTTCTCTCATTTTTCTTTTTTTTTTTGTACCATGTTTATTAGTGCATTGCATTTGAGCTCTTTGATTGGTTTTCTGCAGTAGTGCTGGTTAGATTGTAAATTGTGGGTTGCAATTCCAGCCTAAATTAAAGACTTAGCCCGATATTATAAGTCATTCTCAACAATAATTGGCCGAATTTCATTGCTACTCTGCTAGCTCAATTAATTAACATAGCATGCTTTTAGGCTTGATCTTGAAAATGACGCCTGTTAACTGACAGCTGTTAAGTCAAGCTGTTATCTCTTATATCAATTGGTAGCTCAGCTCTGTTAACTAAACACGGATTTTGTCTTTGTCGCACACACACACACACACACATATGCATGGTTAAGTTTCTCGAGTTTTTTAAAATGTTGACCATTGTGTTGCTGCACTCTTCACACCCTTAAGTTTTGTTAGCACTTTACATTGTTAGCACGTGGCAAACTTCTTGCGTCATATTTTTCGTTGCTGCAGCGCTGATTGAATGGAATCTGTGGCGTACCTACACAAACACACACACTCACAAGTGATTGTGTGCTTGTGTTTACTTGTGTGTGAGTGTTTGTGTTCGTTTTCATGTTTGTTTGTTCGTTTGTTGTCGTTGCTTGTTAAACGTCAGACATTTTTGTGAGCTGCAACTGGCAAATTAAACTTTTGACATGTGTGTGTGTGCATCTGTGTGTGTGTGTGCGTGTTTGCCAAGTGTTTGCGGTTATTGCTGACTGGCGCCTCTGCACCTGTAATCTCGCTTGGCCATAGATAGGAGCAATTTGACTGCTGCACAATCGCCACAAAATTGTCGTCCATTAGCACTAAGCAGTCAGTCCGAACAGCAGCAGTCAGTCAAATAGTTAGCCATGACACGAACCCGTGTCAGGCGACAACTTCGCAAAAAAAACTTTTCATTGCCTGCACTTGCCACAAATTGTTCGGCATGTTCACATTTTTAAGACTTTCGTAACGCATTTCGAATAAGTAAGCTTTAAATGTATTTGATTATAAATATTCTTAGCAGCTTTCGAATAGTTACAAATTATGAAACAACAAAATTAATGTCAACAATGTCTGAATTTGTTGAAATGGGATTAATTTTAGAATTGATGAACGCTTCTTATTTTATTTTTTCCAACTCTCCCTGTTCATCAATAGAGACTCAAACTTTTTTTTTGATTTATTCGATTTCAGTTCATTAAGCGAGAGCATGTAAGATTCCTTTTAGAAAGTGCTTGACACATAGTCGTTTTGGGTTGTAGATCCTCTCCACCAAAGCACTCCTCCATCCATGCCTGTGTGTGTGTGTGTGTAAGTGTGCTTTTGACATTTTTGCGTACATTTTTGTGTGACAAGTTTTTTGTGGTTTACTGAGGGGGCCACTTTACGGCATGTCATCCGCTCGTTGGCAAACGGCCGGCCTATTTCACACTTTTATAGAAAATTTTTGCCAATTGTCTGGCGACGCAGCGACTCGTGCGACGTACTCGTGGTTAGCACTCTTTATACTCCTTTTTTTTTTCTTCTCGTTTCTCTGTGTGCGGAAGTTTGCGCAATTTTCAAAGCGGAAATGCAATTTTCGGTTCAGCTGCATTTGTCTCGCAGTATGCCGAACCCGCACCACACCGCACTGCACCACCCGCCTAGCCCCAAGAACTGGGCGGCTTGCCAACACATCCAAATCGTATATCAAACGCAGAGTTGGCAGCCCCTGACAATGACATGCAGCTGCAGCAGCAGCCAACCCCCAAAGGCTGGGGCAAGGCGACTGAGGATAGAAGAGGAGCTGGAGAATACCGCCAAAAAAAAGGAGAAAAAATAAACCAGCTTTAAATTGTCGCCGTCGCCAATAGTAGCTATTTACTACTGTTGTTTGTTGTTGTTGTTGTTGCAGTTGTATTTGTGTGTGTTACGCCTTTTGTGGCATGGCCTGGAAATATATTTCACACGCTTTTTTCGAAGCGCGTTTTTCTCGACAACTTGTGCCATTTTTTTGTTATTGCTTGCTTTTGCCAGCCGAATGAATTGTTGAAATACTTTTATTTATTTGCATATAAATTATTCAATTGTTCCTCGGCTTATCTTTCTTGCTGGCTGCTGGCTGCTTTTCATGACACCGTTGACCCCGACCCCTGTGGAGTTTATCAAAATGCCGAATGCATTGCGAACTGCAATTGATTTCTGATATCTCACACACATACACACACTCAAACATAAATACATGCACATGCCTCCAACGTGGGCGTGGCGTGGTATGATAAATTTTTTGATTTATGCTTGCATATTTGGCACAAGTTAAATAAAATCACATTTACATGTAGTCAGCGGGAGGGGTGGTGGAAAGGTCATGCCACATGGTGGTGAGAGAAGTGCCTGTCAATTTATGTGTGTCAGAAATGGCTTCGAGGGGCAAAGCAGCAGCAGCAGAACTCAAATGGCTCATTTGTGGCACGCACGTTTCGAATTAGTGCCGAAGTTGGCAATCTTCTACACTTGTCTGCATTTCAAATTGCATATTCTAAATTATTTCAAGCTCTTTTTTTTTGACACCAGCTTTAATTATATCTGATGAAACTCTCTGTTTTGGATTGGAATGCGAAAAACAAATTCTTCTTAATTGATAATTAGTTAAAAATATAATCATTTAATTTGTATATTTGTAAACCTATTAAAATTGAGTAAATGTAACTGTCAGTAGAAAACTTCTCCGACCCCCTAAGGTATTTATATTCCTCATCTGCATCGACAGCCAAGTCAAACTTTTTAAGGGGAAATATCACAATAAAACTGGAATAATATATTCCACAACTGGGTTCAGGTTATCGCATAGTAAATTAATTGTCATAATTAAAGATGAATTTGCTAAAGATTTTGTTTTAGCTATGCTCGCACAGCTCTGTTGCTGCTTCAGATAGATGTATGCAGTTATTAATAAGGTTTTCATCAATATTCATGGTTAGCATAAATATTTGCTCTCGTAGACAAGAGTTGCACTTTTAACCAACTAATCCGCTCACTTTATGTCTTTCAATAAACAACATGAATCAGGAACAGGCACTTGGAGGTCCATTGTCATAACTTTTCAAAATGTCGCCTTTTGCCTTTGCCTTTTTAGGTTTTTACCCATTCGCCATTCTCCATTTGCCATTTGGCACTTGGCGCGTTGCTGTAGTGCTTCCGTTTCCGCCAACACGTGCGCTAAACGGTTTGTCTGCTTGTACCCACTCGCCTGCTGCCGCCTACCTCCTCCCCAACGAGCATGGTGCTCCCCGCTCGTCCTTGACTATTGACAGTTTGTTGCCGTCAGATGTCAACTGCAGTAGTCGTCATGGGTCGACGTGCCTTTCGATGGCGTTGTGCAAATATTTGGCGAGGCTGTTTTTATTTTTGCCGCCCCCGCCTAAAAGCATGCTTCAATAACATTCAAAGCCGCCACCCACCCACCACCCACCGTGAGTACGTGAGGGCCCTGCGCTTGTCACCCAAAAATATTTCTAATATCTTGAGCTACATGTGTTGTAAATTTATTAGCTGTCATATAAATCTTTGCACACTGCCGCCCTCTGTCGGCCGTTTGCACTCCCTGCAGACGTGTCACCATTTTAAAATTGGAGGCGTTGGGGCGTTGAGCTTGGCTCCATTTTTTTTAGGGGGAGAGCGGGAAGGGGTAGGGGACTTGCTGCGTCTGTTTGGCTGGCAGTTAAAGATAAGAAGACATTGGGGCAGCAAGCGCAACCCTTCCGTTTTTACATATGAAGAATTTTTCATTTACATAAATGCTACTTAAGAAAATTAATAATTTTTTTTCCCCTCTTTGCTGCTGAATCCGCTTTTGGGCTTACTTTTAATTGGGACCGACAACAGATACAACATATGAGGCACAGTCCCACAGCGCTGCTGTCATTGTCATTTGTTTAATTAATATTGCGTCTAATTGAAGGCGTCAGATTTGCTGCGTGGCAAGCATTTGTACTACTTAAGTGAGGTTGGCTTGTTTCCCATTTATATTATGCAAATATTTAAGCAAAATGAAAAATTATTATTACATCGTATTTAAGCAGTCAACAGCAGTCTTTAGCAGTTTGTAGTATTTCTCTCTCATGCTTGACTGCTGAAAATGTTGAATTTGATTTGAAATAAGTTTATTAAATGCGTATTTAAAATATTTTTTACATAAATAGACATTAATTACTATAGCTGTATATTTTGGCACGCTTTTCATTTCCACATCTTTCAATATTTGCAATCTGCACTCCGGCACTATTGCACTTCCGCATCCGACTTTAGCGGCATGCCCTTATCGTCGATCTCCAACGAAGGCACCAAAGGTGGCTTGAATCCATACTCCATGTGCAGATTGCGTCCAAAGTCGGGACTACGTTTCAGGCTGTGACCATTGCGCCAGCGCTGGAATTCATCGAATTCGCTGCCATTGCTCTCCTTACTCGCGCTGGTCGTCGGCACAGGACCAATGTACGACTTGACCATATGAACAGGCGCCGAGGCAGCTGCAACGGCCAAATCCGAGGGTAGTGTATTGTAAATGTAGCGGGCGCCCTGAAGCCAAGGTGAACCTTGGGGTGGAGGCGGTGGTCGCAGATCAAAACGCATATCAGCCAGACTGAAGGTGGCCACCGGGGGTGCCTCACCCCTTACAGGTCGAATCGGGGGCTTGACAAGGACTGATGTCTTTCCTGGTGACTTTGCCACCGATTTGGGTGCTGTGAATTGGGGCAGGAGTTTCTTTAGCATGCGTGTGTAGTAATTCTGCAGCACCTTGGGCGGAATATGACCGATCGAGGCATGTGACCAGGGTTGCAACGAGTTTGGATGGGAGCCAAAGTTAAAGCCAGGCGAGTGATTAGGTGGCATCGGAATGTGTATGGCAACGGGCACATGAATGGGCACGGCCATCGGTCGATCAATATACTTCTCCACAATCTTCTCAACCTCGACGGGCTTCTCCACAATGCGCTCGACCTCAACGGGCACCGGCTTCTCAACAATCTTCTCAATGATTGTCTCCACCGGATATGGAACAGGCTGTTCGACGTACGTCTCCACGGGATAGGGTCGATCCACGTAATGTTCGACATGAACGGGTACCGCCACTGGTTGCGGCACTGGATATGGTACATGGATGTGCTTCTCTACAATTTGCTTGTAGGGACGGTCAACGATTTTCTCAACGGGCACGGGATACGAATTGGGCACATGCTTCTCCACAACAATGGTTTGCGGTGCCTCCTGAAGGGGTAGCTCCTGATGGGGTAGCTCCTGATGGGGTAGCTCCTGATGGGGTAGCTCCTGATGGGTTAGATCAACATTATGAGCAACTTCCTGATGTATAGGTAAATGTGACACATCTTGACCATCAACATTATGTGGTGCTTCGTGATGTATCTGTGTATGTGTCCCATCCTGATGAGGTACACCCAGCTGAATTGATGAATGCGAGCTGGCAACCTCTTGTGGTGAGCTATCGTACTCTACCTGTTCCACATTTATCGGGTTCGCAGCCAGAGACACGTAGTTGGTGGCAGGTGGGGCAGGTTTCGGTATTGCTTCTGGTGCATCAGCAGACACAAACTCCTTGGGACTGTAACCTAGAGAGAATTGGTTCTGTTGTTGCTGATCGAAGGGTGGTTGGTGGTAGATGGTCTCGTGCATCTCAACCAAATGGCCGTCCTTCTCCGTAATCAGTTTGTTGTGTATATTCACTGATTTCTGCACCTCCACAAAGGTGTAACCATTGGGTTTAACCAACAGCTGCGTTTCGGGCTGAGCATTCGGTTTGGGGGCCGGTGCATGCTGATAATTATGCTGCGAAGCATCGGCGACGGCTTCCAAGACGTACTCGTGTGCATTGAAAAACTGTGGATGCGCTTGCTCCTCGGCTTGAGGAGGGGCAGGTGAAGGCGCTTCGGGATTCTGTGAGTTGACCGTAACATAGATCAAACTATTGGGCGTGGGACCAGCATAATTGGAGTGCGCCGGAGCAGCGGGCTCTGATGCCGGAGAAGCAATAGCCTGAGTATTTAGCTGAGATTGTGGAAGTTTCACTTGAGCTTTAGGTTGAGGTTGAGGTTGAGGTTGCGGTTGAGTTTGAGGCATCTCGCGTTGATAGCTTGGCTGCATTTTATAGGATACTTCCTTTGATGGTTTTACGTTTGTGCGTGGCGCCGATGTGCCAGATTCGTAGTGAAAGCTGCCCTTGACTATGGATCCGTTGGCACTGCCTGATACCATGGGCTTGAAGGTCTTAAGAAAATGTCTGGAAGGTGCCTCCTGATTGTGATGTTTCTCCGGCTGCTGGAAGCGCTGCTCCGAGTGCGTCTGATAGTGATCCAGAGCCTGTTGTGGCTGTGTCTTGGGTTTCTCCTCCTGCTGCTGCTGTTGTGCCTTGGATAGGGATTCATCGTGGACAATGTGCACATTGATCTGCTGCTGTTCGGCGGGTCCCTTTTGATTCCGATAGGAGATTGACTCAGACTTCGCTCCATGTTGAGGTGCGGGCAATAGATGCTGGTACAGCATCTCGCCCAGGTTACGTGTCTCTGCAATTTGATTGTCGTCAAACGGCTGGACCTCATCCAGCTCGGTCTCCTGCTCGCCCAGTATGACAATGGGTGCACTCTCGGCGGCGACGAGAGTTTCATTGTCCTCGCTCTCGAAATCGGGTCGCAGCAGCAGACTGGGCAGCACTGGGGATGAGACTGCGGCGCGATTGATGCGCAGTAGTTCATCCCGGGAGATGTGATTGCTGTCGTCCCTGAAGGGTTCCCTCTCCGCACTGCTGACCTTTTCCACAACGATTTCTGTGTGTCCCGGTCCCAGTTCACGTCGATACTCTTTCGACACGCTCGTCTGATAGCTGTAATATGTCTCATTCTTGGGCGCTGACGTTACAGGATCTGTACTTTGTGCACTTGCAACTACAGGAGTTGTGGCATGCACCACCGCCTTGTTCGTTGTGGTTGCTGTGGTGCTGGGCGCATCTGTGGCTGGCTCTGTGATTGCCTCCCTTCCGCTGTAGCGAAAGATGTCCGAGAAGCCGTTGGGAAACAGACTCGATAGCACGTCATTCACCGTGTCCTTCTTCAACTTGGACAGCCTCTCCCGACGCGCAGTTTCCCTGGGCATCTCCTCGTTGATATCGAATTGTATATAGCCATGTCCATTTGTGGGCGATTTTGTGGCACTGCCACTCTTTTCTTGCCCCATGGGCAGCGCGGTGGGCAGAAAAGCAGGAACGCTGTTAAGTTGCGAATAAGGGAGAATTTATTAAAATAATATTGAATGATTTTATTTCTGTAAGCAAAGTAAATGCAGGAGAATAGAGTTGATTAATATAGAGGAAAGTGTTCTGTGCTCAACTTGCCTCTTCGTTAAGCTGAGTTTGAAGTAAACCAAAATGAAATTAACTCTCAAATGTAAAACATTATTAAATGTGGTATGAGAAAAATATTCTTTGAAAACTCATTAATTATATTCGGAGCTCTAAGTATCTTGTAGGATTGGTTAACTCCTTTAATAACTTACCCCACAAAGTGTTGGGAGCTCGCTGTCTCTTTCAGTTGCTTCTGCTCCGCTTCCTTAAGCTCTTCTCTGGCATGGGGTCGATCAGTGCTGACCTCCAGTATGAGCTCGTCTCCCGACTCCTGTTTATTAAACTGTCAAAAGGCAACTCTCATTACCTGTCAAAATCATTGAGTTAACATTGACTCACAACCACAGGCTCTGTCTCCGCCTTCGCATTTTTGAAGCTGTCAGTCAAGGCGTCATCGGAGTTGTTGCTGTCAATGTTTTCGTGGCTCGTTGGCGTAGTCGCATTTTGCGGCACTGTCGGTGGTTGCAGGGGCTGTGGCAGAGTGGTGGTGCTGCTGCTGCCAGAATTCGATGAAGATGCGTGGGTTTCTTTGGCTGTGGCTAGCAGACAGATGCCAATGACAGACAAAGTCGCCGCTAGCAGTTGTAGTTTAGGCCACATGGCACTGGCGCTGTGTACGGAAATGGCCAACATAAAGAGCATTAATTTTCGATGTGAATAACCCCACAAAAAAAAAAAAAACGCAATCATAAAAGAAAAAAGCGACGCATTCCACGAATGTAAAACATTTAACGGCAAGCCGTCAAGCCAGTAAGCCTCGGACGGAAAACGAAGAAATGAACATGAAAAGAGAGGAGTTTTCAGTCGGTGCCTATTTGATTTTCAGCGATAAGTTTGACGATCATTTTTCCTAAGTGGCTTCACTAGTTTTTGAGAGACTCTTGTGATTTTTATTTTATTTTTTGGCTTTGTTGTTTTTCTTTCTCTTTCGCATGCATTTTCCCTAAAGATTCGTAAATGGTTGCTTTCATTGCGAGTTGCTTGGTTGGTTGTTGAACTTGACTGCTTTGTATGTTCGCTTTGGGCTTATGTCACTGCAATTTGCCGCAATGTAATGAATTATTAATTATTTGGCTACCCGAGAGCTTGCCCGACAGCCGACCGATCGATGAGAGCTGAGAGCTGAAAGGCCTGTGTCCTCAGTCCTCGGTCGAACGCGCGTTTAATTTGGAAAATTGAAATTGATGGCGTTTAAAATGGTTCGGTACGGGTTTTCACATAGTTATTGCCTGCTGTTGTTGTTGCTGTTGTTTCTGTGTTTTGATAGGCATTAAATATGCATGCCAAAACATATTTCACTTGCCGCATTCATGTTAGGCCCGAAGCACTTACAGTGCACTTAGCCGTTGCATCGGGTTTTTGTCCAACAACAAAAAACATCCACAACAACAACAACGACGACGGCGGCAACAAATCAACTAGATACATTTTGTGAAAACAGGTGCAGCCCAAGCGCCTAGTCAACTTTATCATAATTTATTTCTACTCTAGATTAGTTTTCCAAGTAATAATAGTCTCATTTTAATTTACACGCTCAGATTGCACGCAATTTCAAAGTTCAAACGTTCAAATTGAATCACTTTAAATTCAGTGATTACTCGAAAAATTGATTTTTTTTTACATTGCTTAAAAAGGTGTTTATTTTCGCGAATACAAATCGAAATTGGACCTTTCACTTTAACATTGTAGTGCTTAGTTTATGGGAGGTATTATTAAATATTGCCTAACAGATTTTCAATTATTTTAAATTTCGTTTAATGCTCTGCGAATTTGTTATTTACACTTAAATTAAGTGTTTCCTGTAATTAATTTTAATCTTTCCGACTGATTTATGGAAATTATTTAGAAAAGTGTTTATCGCTATTAGGTTTATATTTAAAAATTCTTTCCCCTATTTATTTTTTAAAGAGTTTTCATATTTTCGTTGCAGAGTTGGGGGTTGGGGAATTTTCGACAAAAACATTTTCATTATTATTTTCCACTATATGAAACATGACTTAAAATTGTAGTAAAAAGCTAGATACTTTTTGGATCATAATTGTCTGTCACTATTATTAATCAAATTAAAAATTAAAGGCAAGTTAAGGTTTCAGTAATATACTTCCTATAAATTGTACCTTGATCTATCTTTTACTATCAAAGCACTCTATTGATCTGGCTAGGCTTATCTTTAAAAAGTATTAGTCTTTGGTGACGACACAATCGGCTTAATTGCATATTAAATAATGTTTTGTAGATTTAATTGCTCGTGTTAATTTCTTTAGCAATTTTTAGCAGTTCAGCCCAGTTAATTTATTTATAATTGAGATCGATTTTCGCACGCTTAATATGCATTTAAAATGATTATTAATTTACCTGCATCCATTAAATATTTCGAGCGATTTGTTTGCAATTAAAACACTGAATTATTTATGCCAATTGCCGCTCAATTACAACGCACTTTTAATCACAAGAAACAACACATAAATGAAATGTTTTAAACTTTAGAATGCAAGTAATTCACTTGATTGCTTGAGTGCACAATGTGAAAAATGAATATTTACAATGTATTTCTTTTTTTTTTATTTATTTATTTGGTTCAGTTTTCGTTTGCGTTATGCTTAGACGGCTATCAGCTGGTGGGGGCGGGGAGCACTCAACTTAGGCGACCCTGTCAGCTGCGCGTTCGCGTTGCGAATGAAAGTGAAACCGTTGTGGTTCGAGCATTTCGTTTTCTTTTCGATCGCCGTCGTCGTCGTCGTCGTCGTCATCGGTCGACTCGAAGTCGAAGTCGTTATTGAAGTTGCAGTTGTTGTTGCTGCTGCGGCTGCTGCTGCTGTTGGAGTTGCTGCTGTCGATCCTTAAAGTGTAGCACCAAACTTGTCCATCCACCGATTGCGCAAGCGCAGCTATCCCTCTCTCTCTCTGTCTCCTTCTCTTTATCTTTCTGTCTTTTTCGCTCGCTTCTGCTCACTGCCGCCTTTGCAATGACATTTTTTTTTGTTTATGGCTTTCTACGGCAGCATTGACCCTGCCAAAAAGCATATGCGGGAAAACTGTGCAACAGGTTTTTAGTCGCTTTGGCCAATTGTATGGAAAACACAACAGCAACAATGACAACAACAAGCTGCAGCAGCAGCAGCAGCAACAACAACAACAACAGTTCGCCAGTGAAAGCCCTTGTAATTTGCCATTTGTTAACCCACAGTTTGCCCTAAGCTACTTCAACACTTGAACTACTCACTGTTTGCAGTATATTTTTTTTTTCTTTTTTTTGACTATTATCGCATATAGTTATTACACCTGAGCGACTATTTATGAGTATTGCACTTCAATTGCAGTTTTTGCTGCTCGCATTGTTTTGCCATGTCTTTTTCACGGTCTGTTTTTATTATTGCCATTAATTTTTAATGAGCCGCATTCGACAGATTTCGTTGCTTTTTTTGTCAGGCATTTGACGTCTTGAAGCTGATTGATTCATATGCCAAACGCTTAGGGGTACGTGGCAGCTAAACGCATCAGTTTATGCATCTCTCCGGCTGCCGATCGAAACACATTTCGATTGATTGATTAAAATGGCAAATGTTTGTGTTTATTTATGCTGGGGGCAAACCGTTTCACTTATTGCATATTTACCTATTTGCATTTTTCATATAAAAATATATTTATGGCTTAGCTAAAATTATGCTTGATATAAAATATTTCATCGACCCATAAAATCAATAGATTTTTCCTTCCGAGGAACGTATCATATTATTTCAAAGCAAATTGCCTATTTATTTATTAAAAAATTATGATAAATTTGTATTTATATTTATATATATATTTTTATGAATATATATGTGTATAATTGTTAAGTAACTTTTGAAGTAACTCTCTATTAATCTCCATCTCCATCGCATTAGGTTATAAATGCACTTATATTTTAACTTGGTTTTATTTTTATTACACTTTCACAATTGCTTTTTTAACTAAAGTGCTTTGAATCTCAGATCTTTATGGAGTCTGGCTATCTAATGCATCTCATTAATGTCAGCTGAGTGAGAATGATGCATACAACATGCCCCATATGAAATTATTAATTGCTGGCAATTTTTGGCTTTCACCAATTTACTGTGCTTTGTGTCATTTTGATGGCATTTCCTCTCGTCTTCCGCACACCCAAATGCATAGCCAACTGAAAAGTTTTAGAGTCTGTGTGTGTGGCAGATAATAATGATTAAAGTGCGCGAGACTGGGAGACGAAGATTATGCAACTAAGCCAAGCTGCACGCTAAGAGTTGAGTATTCGAATGCTTTTGTTAAAGGAAACGCGACTCATAAGTTGCACAGGCCGCGCCCCTCCACTCTCTTCTCTCCACTCCTCTCTGTCTTGATTAGTTGGCCAACTCAGACTATTCGTGGCTACTTTTTGTAGTCTCAGCATTTGATAAAACTGTAACAAAAGTCAACTTTAAGTGTTTGTTGTTATTGCAGGCTGACTGACTTCCTTCCGCATGGTCAAACTTGTCGCCTGGGAAACCGAGTAACAAAATCGGCACAAACTGCAAAGGAAATTATTGAAAAGCCTTCAACACAGCACAGCAGTTCATTTATTAATATAAACGCCCAACGAAAACTGCGGAAAATCTATTAAAAGCAATTTATTTAATTTTATTTCTGGTATTTACTTATTGTATTTCCCAAAAAGGGCATCCGAGCGTAATGGCCAATCAGTCCGTAATACGCCACGCCTCAAACTGCCCGCCTATTTGGCTGCGCTAATTAAGTGCGCAGGGCAAATAAAATGACCCAAAAGGTAATTACAATGAATGAGGTAGGGGATGAGAATGGGGAAGGGGCAGGAGTTGGGGTAGTTGGAGGCTACGGTCGAACTCAAACCAAAGCCAATTGTGCAACAATCAATCAAAGACCATTTTTAATTTTGCGTTAACAATTTTTGTACTGGTATTTTCAGCAAACGTTGAGGATTCCTCTTTTTATTTTTATTTTTATTTTTATTTTCATTTTGTATTTTTTTTTCAATCTTTATGTCAATTTTGTTCGCTTTTTTTCATTGGCCAGTTGTTGGTGATTTTGCCGCGTCGTTTAACTGTGTGAAGTAAATTGGAAAATAAAGTTAAAATTAAAATGCATTAATTGAACTGTGAAATTTCATAAAAGTGTATGAAAAATTATTTGTGCGTGCGCCAATGAGCAGATGACGATGATGATGTCGATGCCGATGCTGATAATCATGATGATAACGAAGAAGAAAAGTGCAAGGCCGAAACAGAAAATGAATTAATTGTCAGAGTTTTAAGCGCGTTTAAAATCGCAAAAGAGTCGAGTCGCTTGGATGAACTTAATGAATTTGTAGGCATAAAAAGTGCAGATAATGAATAGTGCACGGAATGCCAAAATTGTATAACCATTCTGAAGGCGTGATTGGGTACAACAGTCAATAAAATTAACTATAAATGAATTCATTACTTTTACTGCTCGTTGAAGCAAATAAAAAAGAATTTTAATATAGATTTCATTCAGACATTTTTTTTACTTTTATATAGATATATGTATAATTTAAATAAGTTTTCGTTGGCTTCAGGTCAAGCTTTGTTTTGATATATTTACTTCGAGTCCCATCGGGATTTGAGTCACAGCTTCCGTCCTTGCCAACATTTTTGCTCATTTCGATGGCAAAAGATTTGAATCATTTGAATAATATTTAATAAGAAAAGTGCTTAATATATTGTATAATGCAATCGTTGAGAATTCGCGTATGCAAATGAATATCCCTACTCTGTGCGCTTTTAGTTGTCTTCGCCTTGCCACCATATTTGCTTATCAGCACAACAATTACCATGATTATTATGACAAATGATTTATTATACAAAAATATAACCACACATATACACATACATGTTTAATAACAGCCACTTCCCCTAATGCCAAATTGTGCGATTTCACCGTAAGCCAACTAATTGCTTAACTTCATCAATATTAGCCACCGCAAAAAAAGGCGGCAAGCCAAGTTAGCAATCTCCTATCTTAGCGCAGTAACAGCCACGCCTTAATAAAAAATAGTGCCCACACAGCGCACACTCAGTCATTATTTGTGAATGCATTCATGAATCAATCGGTCGATTCAATTTTGGCCCGACCGCACACCATAAAGTGCGCAATTTTATTGATATATGGATATACATGCATAATTGTTGCTTTTTGCATTTTTGGTTTAATCATCATATTATTTGTATTTGTTGTTCCTGCCACGAGTCGCCTATCACAAACAAATGAAAGATGCGAATAGCGTTGCCAATTGGCAACTGGGTAGCCGGTTTGGTTTTTTCTGGATTTTGCCTTGCTTTGCTCATGACAACAATTAAAAAGAAATGTGCGCAGCAATGCCAATTGGCAATTGCGGATATTTGCGGCCTTTCAATATGTACCTTCTCCCCCACATCTGCAGCGGCCCCTCTCTTCCAGAGAGTGGTACAGTGCACCTTTCGCTATGCCGTGCCACTTTGGCGCGTGCGTCGACATTGGCGCTGGTTGACGTCAGTCATCTTGACCATATTTGTATCCTCAGGGCCGTTACACACAACCAAAATGTTGGTTTTCATTTTATTCATTACTTATAAAGTAATAAATTAAGTTTAATTCATTTTTTAAAAAGTTTAAGAACTTAAATTCCCAACATTAAAGTCTTTTAAATAAGTTGTTTAAATACTTCCTAGTTCTCACACTTATATACACCTCTCTATCTATCTCTCTGTGTCTGCATCTGTATCTGTATCTATGCTTGTATATCTATCTCTGTTCCTGTCTATCACTGTATGAAGACAAAATTTTTTTTTTCTTACCGTGTACGAGTTTATTCCACTCGATTAAGGAATTTCAATTGGTCATTGCCAGCACACAGTTGATAAACTAGGCATTTTGATATGGACAAAAGGGGCAGCGAGGACCGGTACGGTACGCCCCCGCTGAACTGACTCGCTGGCAACTCGTGTAATCTGGCGCCTTGGCCGTCATTAGCGCCGCAAAGTGGCAAAAACCGGCTAACAGAGGGGCTGTCCGTCGGCCGTCAGCCCAGCCAGGTTGCCTGCCTGGCTGCTTGTCGTTGTTATCAATGCCGTTGATGTTGATGTTGTCAGGCAAACAGGTTGGCCTGGCCAACTCTTTAGGCCAAAAAGTGTAGCAGTGTCGTCGCCACATGACCATATTCGCATATACATATTCGTTGCTATTGCTATTGGCCATGCCGTCCTGCGGTGTCGTTGTACTTTTAATTTTCAAGTAATAAACCTGACCACAGTAGACGGCCAGACCAGTGCAGAGGCACAACGCATTTGGCCAATGCACGAAATGAAAACCGGAATCGCCTACTGTGCCCCACAGCGTCCCCCTCCCACCACCCCTCCCATTGCGATTCTGACTCGATGTTGCCTTTCCCTTTCGTTGCTGGGGTGCAGCCTTTTTGATTGATATTGATGCAATTGGATGCTGCTTGATGCCACAATGTTGCAAGCGCACTTGCAATCTTTGCTGAATTTCATTTGCATTTCAAATTGCACGTTCGCTGCCAATTGTTACGCATACCCTTCCTCATACAGATCATTCTAAATTATTGATTGGGTTTGCTTTTAGATTGTTGGCATGCCAAAGATGAATTTCACGTCGAATCGAGGATTAAAGTTGGAGAAACAAGTGTATAAAAATGTGCAACATTATTTGGTTAACTGCTTTCTCGCTGGTCTATTCCGATTTATTCCCCACCATAAATAATGCGCTGCAAATAATTTATTTTGCATTTTTATTTTTAAATTTTATTTCATGTTCATTTTGTGTTTGTTTTTTGTTGTTGTCATTTGCTTTGCTTTTTATTTTATGCTAAATTGGCTATGTTGTCTGTTGCTTTGTGTCTTAAACTTGTAAATTTTTGCGGGCATCTCTTATTGCAGTTTTAATCTGGCTCTTAAAGTTAACAGTTATTTGTTGGCCCTACTCTTGACCCTTTGCATTTGCATTTGACATTTAGGGCAGGGTCTGATCTTTATTTATTGTTTTTCTTCTTTTTCGGTTTTGTATGCCTTTTGATTTCATTTTCTGCTCGTCTTGGGATTTTTATGGCCCAACAATTCATTAGTAATCGTATTCGTACTGCTAAAAATTTGTTTTGGTGGTTGTTACTTTTATCTTGGGCCTATGACTTAAACCTTTGCTTATTGTATTCTCGTATTTTTATTCTTTTATTCTCGTATGCATATTATAATTTTTCTTCTTGTTTTTGTCAACACATTTTATTTGCACTACAAATGAACTGCGATTTCTTTCGTTTTTTTTTTTTTGTTTTTTAACTTTTACATATTATGTAATATTTAAAAATTAATTTGCCACATTTTGTTGTTTTGTTTTCTATTCTCTTAAGAACTAAATATTATAGTATTTTGTGTGTATTTTGTTTTGTTGTTCTTGTTGTTGTTTGTTTATGTCTAAATAATATTTTGTAAATATTATCATAATAATTAATCATATAATAAATACAATATGCATTTGACCACTCTTTATAATATACATATATAATCATATACTATATATATATATGTATGTATATAATACCATAATGTTTTTTTGTTAATAATTAATTTTGTTAGTTAACATGACGACGTGTTTGTTTTTGCTTTTTGTTAATACAATTCGCAAATTCTTCATTATAAAAACCAAAAAACCCTTAACTCAACTTTACATGGCACACATACAGTTAGGCTATCCATATATGCATATTGGCATATTTCTAATTAAATTCCAAATTAAAATTTTACAATGCTTAAAACGCTTTTCATTTTGTGTTTTTGTTTTTGTTTTGTTTGTTGTTTGTTGTGTATTTGTGTTGTTGCGGAATTCTTGGAACTCGGCGTAAATGTTAGCGTTTTGCAATTCAAATGTTGCTTAAATTGGCGTTAGGTTCTTCTAAGTAATTCTTGTTGATTTTTACATTGATCTCTTATAAATAGGTAGTGCTTTAAATGGCGCATACGATTCATACGACTATATGGCTAACATGTTCTATGAAATAAATTACAAAAGCTTTGGCTTTATACACAAATTCAGCGCGCAAAAAGGATTTTCGCCAGCTCTTTATAGGGATATTGAAATGAATTATTTTACAATAGCGCTTAGTTTGAGTTTTGTTATATTACATATAAATATTTCGGGTTTTTTTTATTTAATATATATATTTATGGTATTATTCATTTTGCTTTTCATTTATTTATGCACTTTTTAAGTAACTACTTCGGATTCTTATTTTCAAACAACATTTAACACTTGCTATATAATATTGTTCTGCATTTTTAAATATGTTTGCGCTTAAATTTAGTAAATTGTTTTTTTTTTTTTTTGTTTTGAGCAAATTGCTTCTTGAACATTTATGTACATTTTTGTATTTGTTCTTTGTGTGTGGAGGGTCTTTTTTGGAGCTAATTTTCATTTTGATTATACGTATTTAAATGACTAAAATATGCATTGTAGAACGAATTTTAAGAGTTTTTGGTCCTTGAAAATTATGTAAAATAAAGTTCAGAAAAATACAACATACAACTGAAAATGTAATAGGTTATTCAGAGTCCAGAAATCATAATTTAATTTTGAAAATCCTTATTTTAAAATATGTTTTTATTAAACAATTTGTATGAATTAGTTGCAGATGTAAAATAACTTTTATCAAATTTGCAAATTTATATGTTAATTTTGTTTTCAAAATATCTTACATCTTGTTTATATATATATAATTTTTTTGTTTTTGGCTATTCGAATGCGCAAAAATTCAAATGGAAGGAATTTGTTCGTGCCTGGTAAGTTACTTGCTTTTCATTTACATTAAAGTATAGTTAAACTCATCTTTCTCTCTTTCTAACACTCGCATGCTATTTATCTCTAACACTAATTGCCTCAAAATATTTAACAAAAATCAGTCACTTTGCAAGTTTCTAGCTTTTTTTTTCGAAAAAGGAACTTAAAGTACAATAATTATACATGGATTAACTATTTAACAATAGATAAATCCAAATCCAAAAGATTCTTTAAATAACTTTGTATGTTTTTGTATTTTTTTCTTCGTTTTGTTTTTGTTTTTTTTTACTATTTGGCATTCAAGTTAAGCGCTGCTACTAAGTACTACACACGTATACACTGACACAAATACAGTTACAGATACAGATACAGATACACTTAGAGTTACAGTAAAAATATTGTATATTAGGGGGGGAAGGGGGGGATGTGTGGCTTTTGTCTGAGTAAAAAGTTGAAGTTGCCAACTGAGATGACTACAAGGTGTATGAGTCTGGTGTGTCTGTGTCTGAGTGTGTGTGTGTGTGTGTAAATATGAGTGTGGATTAGTCGTTAGTGGGTGTTTTTTGGGTAGGCGCTTAGCTTAGGGTTTTAAGTGGCATAATTTCATTTTGATGGCTTTGCTAATTGATTACAAATACACATACACATAGCGATTGAATAGTGGTTGTAGTAGTAGTAGTAGTAGTAATAGTAATTGTGGGCAATATGGCATATAGGTAATACATATCGTATGTATATATATATATATAGTAGATATATGTATGTAAGTATGTATATATGCACTTAGACATAGAGGGTAGTACGTAGTAGTACATAGCATAATAATTTGCATGCGTTAATAGTCAGCATTCTCTCTCTCTCTCTCTCTCTCTCACTTTATCGCTCTCATTCATACACACGCTCACACAATCAAATACTATCCCTCTCTTTCACACACTCTTAAAGTTAATGAGAATGCAGCAGCGTTGCACCGAAGAGAGTTAAGGCCAAAGCCAACTCAAAGCCTCGCCCGCTCGCCGTATTATTGCTGAAGACCGGAAAGTGTATTTGCTCGGGTCGATTGAGTTCCTCCTCCTCGTCGTCGTCGATGGTGTTTGACATTTGCCGATGACGCTTTGTAAAGTTCACATTGAACACGGCCTCAGCAACGCCACCTGGCGACGACACAATAAAGTAGAAAGTCCGTGGCACACGCTCGTGCATGCTGACATAAGTTAAACGCGCCTCCTTGCAATAGGGCGTGGGTAGATCCTGTCAGAGAATACAAAAATACATTGATAAAGAGACTTGACCACTGTAACGTTGGGTTAAGGTTGGGTTACCTTGACCGAGTAGGCCAGCACTGTGCTGCCGTATTGATTGCCCGGCGTAAAGACGCGATCGCCGTGCAACCAGCGTGCGGCATGCGCCGGCGGATTGGCACAAAACTCAACATTCAAATGCAACGGAGATCCCGGATAGGCAACGGGCGTCGCATTCAATGCAACAACTGTGGGCGAACCTACAAGGAGAGAGCCAAAGAAAGAAAGATACAATTAGTTAGTATAATTTTGGTTAAGAATTGGGGGAAAAATAAACATTTTAAACTGATCCCGAATTTCGCTTTCAACTTTAAATGCAGTTTATTTTTAATCGGTCAAAACATGATTAAAAAGTCCTAGCTTTTGAAAATCCGATCAGTTTTGACGAAGGTTCAAGCTTTGAACTCAAGTACTTTTTGAGAGTATGAAAAAAGGAGGGAAATGGGGACTTCTGCGACATAAAATAATTGTCAATTTTAACGCGGGTCATCAGTTATTGATTTATGGCTTTTCGAGTGAGAAAGGCTCAGGTGCTTAACCTGTCATAAAACAATTTGAGGGTTTGGAGTAGTTACGAGACATTTATGACAGAATAGAGGAGATTTATGATTGAACTTTTTCATGAAAGGCCAACGAGGTCAAACAATGATTAAGAAGCACCTGTAATCGAATGAAAGTTTGACCAGTCTGTCAAAAAAGGTGTACAGCGGTGTAAATGAATAATCTGTCCAAGGTACAGTATATCACAGTTTCCAATTCGCTTCCAATGATTGAGAATGGAACCATTTTATAAATTGCAAATGATTCTGCACGCAGTAGATGTTTTCCGTTTGCTTACTGAATTGGATGGTAAACCTTTGCAAGTCTTTGCGTTAATATCTCATTACCAACTTTTGTTCAGAGTCTTAGCCATTTGAGAAACGCTAAAGTTCGCTTCGCAAACTTGGCAACACTGAATTGCACACACTTGAACCGTTGCTAAGCCAACTCGTACGCAACTGTACTTTAGCTAAGCCAGCTATAAACACAACTGCGATGCGAGAAGAGGAAAGTTCTAGTGGCAATGCCATCGCCACTAATTAAAAGCGTATCAAATACAAAATGTGCCGCTTAGCCAGTGTTGTGCAACTTGGGCGAAGGGAGAGAAATCAAAATAAATAGCGAATAACATGTCGTTGAGCGGAAAGTTTTTAAGAACGCCGAAACTTCATTAAAAAGTTTTTCGACGAATTTCTCTGTGAGTGTGGAACTTATGTGGGTCACATGTTGAGCAGTTATGCGTTGAGTTGAGTTGAGTTGAATTGAGCTGAGCGAGCTGAGAGTTTGGTGGCCAAATGTGACGTTAGCCAACACTGTGCGACAATCCAATTAGACACATGTGTACCCAAACCCAGGCTGCCAACATATTTAATTATCGAAAGGCACGAAAATTTTGCAATTTTCCACATCATTGCCCCCCGGGACAGGGAGACGGGGGACGAGAGCGGGTGGGAGATACAAGAGCTCGACAAATAAACTTAAACATTTTATTTAACCAGCGCGCAACAATGGCGGCTCGGCAAACAAAATGGCCAAAAGTGTTAAGTGCAAATGAGTGTACGGCGGGGTTGCCAGCAGCCCCTCAGCTCTCAGTTGCCAGCAGACGCAAGCCAAAACAAATCGAAACGCCCATCGACACTTGCCAAATTTATAACTCGAAAACTTCCCAAGCACCCGGCCAACCCCACCCCACCCCACCAGCGACTAACTGTAAAATCAATTAAGCCAAGTGAATGCTTGCCGGCAGCAGGGTTGTGTGTGTGTGTGTGTGTGTGTTTAACCAAGGATGAGACTACTAAATTATGCGTTCAGCGCCATTTTGTTGCCCCTGTGTGAGGCAGCTGACAACAGTGCCACCAACGAACCCACTGTCGCAAAAAAGAAATGTAATTTATTTGACAGCTAAAACTGATTTCAGACCGCCCAACGCCCTCCAAAAGAGAGATTTACATTTTATTTTGATTTGCAGCCACTGAGCCGTGTGGCAGCATTCTACCCCACGGTTCAGGTGGCAACCTCACCATTGGGGGTATGCCCCCAGGGTCAGCGCCTGGTCATTGGTGCGATTTTTAATTTGATTTAAACGCTAGGCGCTAAATGAAATGAGTTTTGAGTTTGGTTTGCGTTTGGTTTGGTTTGGTTTGCGATGCGATGCTTACAATATGAATGGAGTGGAAAGTGTCAAATAGAAAATGCGATACAGACTAATTTTTGTGATAATAACGGAAAGGCGAGTTGGGAGAGTTGAGAGAGATGGCTGAAAAGTTAAAAGGCAAGATGGGACTGATTAAAAATGTCAAAAGAGCCGGGTCAAAATGAGTTTGGTTCATTGAAATGAATATTCTACTTTCCGCATTTCCTATATATATAAAGTATATTTTTAATTATTTAAAGTTAAGCCCTTGTAAATGATTTCCACAGTTGCTGGTAAGTCAAAAAGAATCTCGAATTGTGAACAAAATAAATTCTTAAATCTTATGCTGAATACAGATTCCGCTAAATACGGACTTTTGTTAAGTTAAGAAGCTGTAGTTAAGAGTATGTTCTTAATTAATGCAATTGCGCTACTACAATTGGAGGGGTTCGTTATGGTGAGGCCGAGGCTGCTTTTGTTTTCACAATGCACTTAGCATGCTTTGCCTACTTTTGAGGCGTGCTACTTATTTGAGGGGTGCGGGGGTTAGGTGGACAACAAGCGCTTGCATCTTGCTGCCAGCCCTTGCCCAAATAGAAAACACTTACAACTACAGTAAAATTAACATTTAAACAATAACAACAAGTTGGCATGTACTACAATTGTTGAAACAGCACAATACAAGCAGCAGCAGGAGCAGCAGCAGCAGCAACAGCAACAGCAGCAGCAGCAACAGCAGCAGCAGCAACAGCAGCAGCAGCAGCAACAACAAGTATAACAATGAACGTTGCCGCCCTGGCCCCAAACATAATAAAGTTTTATAGCTGAAAATTACTCAATTCCCGTTGCTCGAAAAAGTTAACTTAATTTTTGTAGTTGGCTTTTGTGTGAGCAAAAGTTTGCAAGAGGTGCAGCAACAACAACAAGTGCAACAAAAACGTTTTGCAACACTCTGGCGGCCCGTTGCACCAAGTGGGCAGACAATGGACGAGCCAGCGCCAAAATGACAGGGTTGCAAAATGTTGTCGAGTACTCGTTGGCCGCCTCAGAGGCAGGCAGCCCCATTGATTGCACGTCGCGAAATGTTTTTTTGTTATTGTTGCTGTTGATGCTGCGCTTTTGCATAAAGTGCGTGGGCGAGCAGGGGGGAGGGTTCGAGCGAGGACAGCAGCGACGAACGGGCGAGCGAACAGTGCTGGGAAACGCACTCGAGTCGTTTTGAACGTTGAAAAAATAGTAATGACCGAAAATAATTGAATTTTCGCATTCATTCGCGTGTTGCAATTACTTTTGCCAGTTCCATTTGAAAGTCTACCTCTCTGTAACCCCCCCCCCACCCGCCACCCCAACCCTTCTCTCCTCTTTCTCTATTTCTGGCGTTTCCACAGCGTTGGGTTGTTGTTAGAGTGTTCGGCCATCTTGTTGCAACACTTTTTGCCCCTTATGGTTTTTTTTTCCCAATTTCCCTTTGCTTTTTGATTGGTGGAAGACGCATAAGGTTGCGCTGAGAAGCCAAAAGAAGTCAAAAATGTTGACTTGAAAATGACTTTTAATTGACGCGAATGTGGTTCACTCAGCCAAATTATGAATAAAAGAGCAATCAATTTTTTTGCGGTTTTGGCTCACAATTGATCGACTGCAATTAAACTAGGTTATATATATTTTTTAAATTCCAAACAAGTACTTCAATTGGAGGTTCGTCTCCGTAATCGTTGGAGCTTTGCTCATAAAATATTATAAGAAATGCTGGCTTAATTTGAAAATAATTATGTACGTTCACCTGAAAAGTGTAAAAGTGGTGCTCCAGTAGCAGGTGCTTTTATCAAATCGTTAGCATAATGCGTGTTCAGATTAACAAAACCCTAAGCCAAATGACAACGCTGATGTTTAATCAGGTGGGTGGGTACTGAACTGAACCACAAAACCAACCTGGCTGGCGACCTCTTTCGGCGATGGCTCATTAATTTTTAAGCAGTTTGCGCTTAGGTGGCAAAAAGTTGGTAAACTTAAGATAAATCTGAAACGCTTTGAAAGCGGTCGAATCTGTTTTGCTTTGTTTTGTTTTTAGGGATACTTGTCAAGGCGGTGGGGAGGAGTCTTATCTATAATTTAAGGCGAACGACAAACAGTGCGCGATAAATTCAATTAAAATCGCCCCAAGGTAGGCCGCACACACACACACACATAGACACACACACAAATGAAGGAGGGAACGCGGCAAATGGCTAACTAAATCCCTTTTTTGATTGCGAAAGCATTGCACGTAATTTCAATTTGCAGCGAGTGGCAAAGTGGCAAAGTGGCAAGTGAATTTTTGTGTGCAGCATTTCTTTTTGGTAATTTTATTTGCTGCCCTTTTTTGCATTAAGTGCACACAGTGTTTTATTAATTATTCAAAAGCATAACAATGCCACGGCTCTGGCAAGAAAGGGGGGGCAAATGCGGCAAATGCCTCTGGTCAGGCTAAGCTGAGCTCCGTTGCGGCCCCGGGGCCAAGTATTGCATAATTGAATATTATGATTGTTATTTTCACTTGCTGCCTGTCGGATTGCCTGTTATTTTAGCATTTCACTCGCTCCTTCACCCCTCAATCTCTGCTCATATCTAGAAATGCTTTCTGCTGCCCCAACCGAGTGTACTCGACTCAGACTGTTGGCCCCAGGGGCATGTTTTCCAGTTGTTAATGTCTTTAAGCAGCGCTCACCTGCAATTGTCTGTTAAGTTTTGTTTTATTTCGCCTTGTTTTGTAATGTTTTCTTTTGATTTTGCTGTTCGTTGTTCATGTTTTGGTCCTGTATTCCTTGGCAGTTTGCACTTTGATGTGTCCGTCTCGACACCCGAGGGAAACTCTAGACAAACAGAGGCTGCTAAAAGCGCCCAAGCTTCAGGTAAGTTTATCAAAAATATATGTATAAACAATTGCTGGGTACTTTTGAGATATTTATTTGCTGACTGCAAATAATAGCACTATTTTCAGAGAAAGAGTTTCCACAATAAAAATAAAACAGAAACATGCTGTAACTTGTC